CCTGGCGGAGAGGAGCTGTGTGCCATGGGAGGCCAGCGCTGGGAGCGCAGGCATGGCCCGTGCCTTAGCAGGGAGAACTGAGCCCCCACAGATTCTCACCGCCCTGTCTCTTCCCATTCCCTCATTGAAATGTACCTATCGGGGTGGGCAGCTGCTTCAGCCCCACACAAATACTGCCCCCCCATTCCTAACCGTGTCCGTTCCCAGTGAAAGGGAAATTTCAACCCCCGAATTTCTGCTTGGAAGAGAAAGGCGTGTAGCCAGGGTGAGCAGCAGGGCAGCACAGCGAGGGTTAACCCTGGAAGGTGCTGCAGGTGTGCGGGGAGGGGACGGTACTTCACCCGGCATCCCAGCTGGTCCAGGGGCTAGGCCTGTGCCCGGTGGGGTGTCCTGCGAGTGCTCGGCATACCGGTGCTGCAAGGGACCCCCGTGGAGACTGGCACCCCATAGGCCAGAGTTGCCGGGGCTTGTGCCATTGGCATTTCCTCCTGGGTGCATTTGACGTAGTTCACATTTGGCCGTGGCACGCACGGCCCTGCCTGGGAGCTTGTCCTGGACCAACCGTGCAGGAGTCACACTGGCCGTTCCCAGGAGGGGCAGAGAGCCCAGCCAGCCCTTAGCCTGGTCTCTGCCCCCGACCGCTGGCCATCTGTGCTGCAGGACGTGCTGCAGGACGGGCTCCCCTCAGGCTGAGAAAAGCCTCGATTGCAGCCTGGGTCCCCCCCCCCCCGAGGCCCACGGAGGGCCGGGCGGGCCGGGTGTGAGTCAAGCCGAGGGCGCTGCCTGGTAACTGGGCTCTGGGAGGAGCTCCTCTCCAGCACACAGCTCTGCAAACAGCTTCCGGCAGGGCTGATGCGGGCAGTGCTCAGGCCCAGGGAGTGCTGGTGCCCTCCAGGCAGGGCCGAGCTGCCTAGGCAGCATGGGCGCGGCAAAGCAAACCCCCCTCCTTTACCTTGCAGTGCAGAGAGCCGTCTCCCTCTTCTCCCTCAACGACTCGGTGCTGAGCCCCGCCGCCCCGCCAGCGCACAGCCCGGGCCCCACGCCCCGCACCACGCCCACCATGAGGTAAGCGGGGGCGCCTGGTTCTGTGCCCGGGTAAGCCCCGGCCCCTCTCCGTAACAGGGCAGACACTGCTGGGTGGGCTGGGCAGGTGGCTGGCGGGACAGGTGTGTCTAGCAGCAGTCGGGGCAGCGAGCGCCCTCCAGGCCTGGGCTGTGGGCGAGGGCAATCCAGGGCCTCTTCCTGCTGGCAGGAACCCAGCCGACCTCACATGGCCGGCGTGTCATGGAGCCACCGCCTGGCGCTGCAGCCAGAGTGCCACAGGGCAGGGCGCCGTAGGAGCAGTCTGCTAGCTATAGGGGAGCGGGGGGCAGACACTGCAGCCTCAGCCGGCCTGCCTGGCGGGAGCCCCCCATCAAGGCTGCGTCCTCACACCCCTGGTTCTGTGTGTGTCTGTAGGGTGGTGCTCGCATTTCATCCATCCCCATCTCACACCCACAGCCTGGCCAAGGAGACTGTTCCCCCACCCCGAGGCTGCCCTGGCCTGTGCTCCCGGGGCTCCCTGCACCAGCGGGTTAAGCCAGGAGGCTGCCCGGCGTGCCCAGGGGCTGCAGCAGGTCTCCACAGCCCTGCCAGCTCCTCTTGTCTGCGCTGGGTCCCCATTGCCGTGGCGAGATGCACTGACCCATGTTTTCCCCTCCCCAGCGAGGAGCTGCCCCTGGACCTGACGGGGAAGGTGTGTCAGCTGGAGGCCATGCTGAAGCAGCTACACAGTGACCTGCAGAAAGTAAGGGGCTCGCACCAGGGCTGCCCCCCTCCCCTTCTGTCGGCCCCACAGGGCACCCCCTTCTCTCTGCCGCTGGGCAGCCTCTCGGAAAGCTCCATCGGGCGGGCGTGCCTGCCTGTGCCCGGGGGCTGGGGTGCCTAGCAGGTTTGAGGCAGGCGGGCTGGGAGTCAGGACTCCTGGGTTCACTCCTTGCTCCTGAGCCGTCAGCAGGCTGGTAGCCCGGCTGGGGGTGGGGCTGGCTGCAGCTGGGAGCTCTCCAACCACCCCCCTCTCTCGCTCAGGAGAAGCAGGACAAGGTGATGCTGCAGGCAGAGGTGGCCAGTCTGCGCCAGAACAACCAGCGGCTGCAGGAGGAATCACAGACGGCCAACGAGCAGCTGCGCAAGTTCGCCGAGATCTTCTCCAGCCCTGTGGATAAGGAGCTGTGAGCTGCCCCTCTCGGGCGCCAGGTGCCAGGCACACCCAGCGCTGTACTGAGATCTTCTCCAGCCCTGTGGATAAGGAGCTGGGAGCTGCCCCTCTCGGGCGCCGGGTGCCAGGGACACCCAGCGCTGTACTGAGATCTTCTCGAGCCCTGTGGATAAGGAGCTGGGAGCTGCCCCTCTCGGGCGCCAGGTGCCAGGCACCCCCAGCGCTGTACTGAGATCTTCTCGAGCCCTGTGGATAAGGAGCTGGGAACTGCCCCTCTCGGGCACTGGGTGCCAGGCACACCCAGCGCTGTACTGAGATCTTCTCCAGCCCTGTGGATAAGGAGCTGTGAGCTGCCCCTCTCGGGCGCCAGGCACACCCAGCGCTGTACTGAGATCTTCTCGAGCCCTGTGGATAAAGAGCTGGGAGCTGCCCCTCTCGGGCACTAGGTGCCAGGCACACCCAGCGCTGTACTGAGATCTTCTCCAGCCCTGTGGATAAGGAGCTGTGAGCTGCCCCTCTCGGGCGCCAGGTGCCAGGCACACCCAGCGCTGTACTGAGATCTTCTCGAGCCCTGTGGATAAAGAGCTGGGAGCTGCCCCTCTCGGGCACTGGGTGCCAGGCACACCCAGCGCTGTACTGAGATCTTCTTGAGCCCTGTGGATAAAGAGCTGGGAGCTGCCCCTCTTGGGCGCCAGGTGCCAGGCACACCCAGCGCTGTACTGAGATCTTCTCGAGGCCTGTGGATAAGGAGCTGGGAGCTGCCCCTCTAGGGCACTGGGTGCCAGGCACACCCAGCGCTGTACCCTAGGCTGCCAGCTGGGTGGGGGCAGCAGTGACCTGGGTGGCGCAGGGCACTGGGGAAGCTTCTGATGTGCTGGAAGGGGCCTGTGCTTGGAAGCAGCATTGCCGGCCCTTCCACGCCTGCACCATGCCCCTGGCAATATGTGGCTAAACACGGGGATTTACTGCTCCGTCTCCCTCCAGGCGGTGCTGTGTGTCAAGCCAGGGATCCGTGTCTGTTCTCTGCCACACCACCAGGATGTTCTTGGGGCACCAGTGCCAGACGTTAAACCTCATGCAAAGAGCGCTGCTGGGCACCCAGGCCGGGACAGTGACTTCCTCACCCTGGAGGGGATCTGACCCGTTGGGGGGTAGGGGAGATCTTGGGCATGCATCATCCAGGGCGATTATCTCCTGGGCATGAACCTTTACTAATCTAGGAAATATCCCTGTGAAATGACTTGATTCCAGCCGTGGGCTAAGGAACAGCCCTTCTGCACTACGTTACACAGCCTGCATCTTCTGGCCAGGTCCCCCGGCCGTCTGCCACAGACATAGCACTATGGGGCTGGACGGGGTCGGTCGCTGTCACGGCCGCTGGGGGGGGCAGGGTTTCGGGTGTATAATAATTATAAGGGGATGGGATCCATACCTGGGAGAGAATATAAAAATTGCCCCTGCCTCTGGCAAGCACCCCTCAGCGCTAAGTTATTTTCCAGAGAAGGCCCTGCTGAGTGCGGGTCAGGCCCTGCAGGCGGCTTGCCATGTAAATGTTCTTTATAAAACACTATATTTGTATAAAGGAGACGCTTTGTAAGGCTCTTTCCATGTGATTTCTGTACACGGCACCAGACGGCGGGGAGCATTTGCAGCGGCCACGAGGTAAAAGCAAGGAGCAGCGTGTGCCGGGGAATGAACCTGCGGTTACTGCGCTTGGTGGGTAACCGTAAGATCCGCGGGGCGTGCGATGGGAGAGACGTCTGTCACCCAGAGCGGCTCCTGGGCAGCTAGATCAGCGCGTGGCCGGTGGGGTGACCCCCCAGAGCACCCCCCCAATTCCCTTTTATAGCTGCCTCCAGAATCCAAGCCCAGGGCTAACAGCTGGGCTCCGGGTAGCCGCCTGGGGAGGCTTTCCTGGCGGCTTGCCCAGATATGGCCCGTTGTTGCTTTACTTCTTTGGCCACGCAGTCACAGGGCAGCAAGGTGCTAATTTCATGTCAGTGCATGAAATCTCTTGTGCCCCAGCGAGCAGGCACGGGCCAGGTTCCCGGCGGTGCTGCGCATCGCTTCCAATCAGCTGGACATCGCAGCCTCCTGCTTGACCCTGCTGGGCAAGGGGGCAGTGCCCCTCCCCACCTCTCCTCGGGCTGGGGCAGGGAAGACCCTGGGCTGCAGAAACTGCCCGAGCCCGCGGCTGCTGCCTGTCCTGTCTCAGCCTGGTAGCTGCAGCTGGTGTGGCCAGTGCACCATGGCCCTGTGCCCAGGTCAGGAGCCCCCCCCATGGGCTGCCATCTGCTCAGCCATGAATTCAGCCTGATGGGAGGGCTGAAAATCCCCTTTATCCTGAGCACCGTGACCCCAGCAGGGGTCTGCTACCATAACATCACTCCCCCCTCTGGGAGCAGCCCCCCCTGGCGTGCAAAGATTAACCCAGCAGCTTGGGGTATAAGCCGGGTAAAAAGTAGGTCACACCTGAAGGTTGCACCTAGCAGCCCCCACACATACCACACAGGGGGCTGGGTACGCTGGTTGCTGTGATGCCCAGGGCCAGGGGCTGCTGGCCAAACTCCCTGTGTGCACCCCATCTCTGGGGGTGGGGGGCTGGGAGCCTGGACCCCTGGCTTCTCTCACCAGCTCGGGGAGGGGAGTGGGGTCTAGGGGTTAGACCGGGGGTGGTGGGAGCTGGGACTCTTGCCAGCACTGGGGGCGGGGGTGGGTCTAGAGGTTAAAGGGGGGGGGGCTGGGAGCCCGGACCCCTGGGTTCTCTCACCAGCTCTGGGGAGGAAAGACGCCAAGGCCGGGCCATGGACCATGGTTTAATGCACAGAACAATCCAAGCACATTGCAGACGGCAGAGTACCAGCACGACACCATGAATGAGGGGCGGGGGGGCCGTGCGGGCAGCGGGAATTGCCCCCGGGCTGGCCACTGCTCGAGCCCCCACCTGCCCCTGGCAGCTTTTTTACCCCCCCCTTTTTCTTGAACCAGGAACAACAGAAAATAAACACCCACATCAAACAGCTTTAGTGAGGGGCACTGCCCCCCCCGCGGTTCCTCTTGCACTAAAATAAATACACCCCAGCTGGCTGGGGGGGCCCATGAGATGCCGCACTGGGGCCTGTGCCAGGGAACAGGGGAGCAGCAGTGAACGCACTAGTCCCCCCCACCCCAGCACTAAGGGGGGCAGTGCTCCCCCCACACACTGATGGTCCCCACCCAGCCCTGGGAAAAGGAAAAACAAACAATTCTATTTCCACATCATGCAAAAGCCCCTTCCCCTGCATCCCCCAGCCAGTCGGGGGGGGGTCTCTGGGGAGCAGCCCCCCCCCGGAGCACCCAGGCCCAGCACGCCCCCCCCCCACCTGGAGTTATGGCTTTGAGGAGGATTTTGGCTGGGGGGGGCATAGGAGCCCCCCCAGGTGCAGGGTTTGAGGGTGCTGGAGTCTGGGGGCACATGGCTGGGGGGTCCTCCCACTCGCTCTGGTCGCAGTGCCCCCCCAGGGAGCCCTCTCGGGGGGGGGGGCAGCGGCTCTAGGTGAGCGTGATGTAAGCCGAGGCCTTGTCCTTCAGCAGCCGCAGACACAGGTCACAGCTCCAGCTCCCTGTGGGCGGGGGGAGAGCGTCAGCCTGGCCCCCCCACCTGCCCCCAACCTAACCCGCAGCCCCTCCCTGCAGGGGAGCCCCGGCCCATCAGTCCCCCCAGCCAGCCATGCGGGATTGGGGGAGCGGGGGACTCACCTTCGGGGGGCTCTGCCATGGGGGGGTTCAAGCAGTACATGTGATAGCCCCGGTCGCAGTCGTCACAGAACAGCAGCTGGTCCTGCCGGGGCAGGGGGGGAAAGGCAGGTCAGTGGGGAGCAGTGACCCCCACCTCCCCTGGGGGGCACCCGGGGCAGCGATGGGACCCACTCCCAGGAGGGGCAAGGGGGAGGGAGGGGCTGGCAGGTCCAGGGGGTGGGGAGGTCAGGGCCGGGGGGGGGGCAGGGGGAACAGCAGGTGGGGGCGGTTAGGGGCTGGCAGGTTCAGGGGGGGCAGGGGGAACAGCAGGTGGGGGCGGTTAGGGGCTGGCGTGTACGGGGAGCGGGGGGCTGCAGGGGGAACAGCAGGTGGGGGCGGTTAGGGGCTGGCGCGTACGGGGAGCGGGGGGCTGGCGTGTACGGGGGGCTGCAGGGGGAACAGCAGGTGGGGGCGGTTAGGGGCTGGCGCGTATGGGGAGCGGGGGGCTGGCGCGTACAGGGAGCGGGGGGGGCAGGGGGAACAGCAGGTGGGGGCGGTTAGGGGGCTGGCGCGTATGGGGAGCGGGGGGCTGGCGCGTACGGGGAGCGGGGGGGGCAGGGGGAACAGCAGGTGGGGGCGGTTAGGGGCTGGCGCGTATGGGGAGCGGGGGGCTGGCGCGTACGGGGAGCGGGGGGCTGCAGGGGGAACAGCAGGTGGGAGCGGGGGGCTGGCGCGTACGGGGAGCGGGGGGCTGCAGGGGCCGGGGGCGGCTCACGTCGTTCTCCGAGGTACCACAGAGGCTGCAGGATTTGCACTCGATGCACTGCCAACGGTAGGTGCGCACGGCCGCCGTCATGTTCGCCGTGAACTGCAGACACGAGGGGTGACCTGCGGGGGGCACAGAGCGGGGAGAGTCGGGGGGTGGGGGGTGGCCCAGAGCAAGCGATTCCCCCCCGCTACTTCCCCCGGTACCACCTGCCCAGCTTGGGAAGCCGCCCCCGCCAGGCTGAGACCCAGCAAATTCAGGACACCAGCCGCAGCGAGCCCCCCAGCCAGGGGCGTCCCAGGCCTGCTCCCGTGCCCCCCGCAGAGGAGCGAAATGCAGAACAGCTCAGCCTGGCCTCATTTGCCCCGGGCTGGGAGGGAACGGGGGGGGGGGGAAACGACACCTCGTCCTCCGCGCGTGCCCAGAGCAGGGCTCACCCCCTCCAGCAGGGGCAGCGTGACCAGCCGCGCCCGGCTCTGTCCCCTGCCAGCTTCCCCCCGTCACACCCGCGCCCCCGGCTGCCCCGGCCTGGCCGGGGGTCGTTACCGGAGCGCCCGCAGTCCGCGCAGGAGATGAGATCCTCGGGGCAGCCGGTTTTCTTGGCGCCGCCGAGACAGAAATCACAGTACCCGTTGGGAATGACCGAGCCGTCCGGAGCTTTCTTAGCTGGAAAACAGCGAGCAGGGGCGGAGATGAAGGGGGTGCAACAGGCTCAGCCCCATGCAGCCCCCCCACTAACACCGCCCCCACCCCCACCCCTGGCCCTGGGGCACCCGACACAGCCCGGTACCAACATGGAATCCCTGGGTTATGCAACAAGCCAACCCTTCCCCCCCCAGCAACCTCCCCCTGCTGCGAGCTTCCTCCGCACAGTGCCCTGGCAGACTGATGCTGCCCCCAGCTGCCCACCCGCGGCCTTCCAGGGCCCTGCAGGCCCCGCTCCAGGGGGGGAGCCAGGAGCCAGCGGGTTTTTGTGTTTTTCTCCCCTTTCTGGCTGGGAAGGGTCAGCCCAGCCTTGGCCCCGGGGCCAGACCTGGGCAGCTCCCAGGGAGGAATCTCACTCAGAGCATTTTCCTCCCCGGGGCTGGGCGCAGTCGGGGTGAGATCCGGGAGAGCTGCTCCGGCCCAGCCCCGCGCGCCGGGCGCGGCCACACACCGAGCTCTCGGGCCGGATGGTCCCCGGGCCTGAAACTGCACCAATCTGAGTCCTCCAAACCTCTTCCAGCAAACGGGGTTTGGCTCCCTCATGTCTGAGATCACAGCCCCATGGGGCACTAGGGGGCACTGGGCTGCAGGACGGGGGGCTCGGCGGGGGGCCTCTCCCCTGGCAGGCAGGGCTGGCCCCGCTGCCCCAGGCAGTCACTTTCCTCCTTTCCAGGTCCCCTTCAAGGCCCCAAACTGGGGCTGGGGCACCGGGCCAGGTGTCGGGCCTGAGAGCCGGGTTGGGGGCCCTGCCCCGCCCCGGGGTGTGGGGGGGTTACCTGTGTGTCTGCGCTGGTTCTCGGGGACCCAATTCAATTCTTTGTAAAACTCTGATGGGAACAGCAAAAACCAGACAGAATGAGGTTAAAGCCAGCTGCCCCCCCCAGTCCAGCTCCCCAACAGACAGAGATTGGGGGGAGTCCCCCACCCAGACACCCCTGACTAGAGCGTGGGCCCTGGGGGGAGGAGCCCGGTCTGGTGAGCCCCCAGGGCTCCCTGGCACCCCCCAGAGCAAAGGGACCTCCGGAGGGGGGCTGGACATGGAGCAGGAGGTAGAATGGGGCCAGGCTGGGTCCCCCCAAAACTACCCCCCCACTGAACAATTAGAAACCAGGCAGCACCCCCCGCCCCCGCCAACAGTCACCCGGCTGTGGGGCGCTGCAAGCCCCCCCCCGCCAACAGTCACCCGGCAGTGGGGCGCTGGGCGCCCCCACCCCCACAGTCACCCCGGCAGTGGGGCGCTGCAGGGCCCCGCCCCCCCCCCAGTCACCCCGGCAGTGGGGCGCTGCAGCCCCCGTGGGCCCCCCCCAGTCACCCGGCAGTGGGGCGCTGCAGCCCCCATGGGCCCCCCCAGTCACCCGGCAGTGGGGCGCTGCAGGCCCCCCCCCACCCCACAGTCACCCGGCAGTGGGGCGCTGCAGGCCCGGGGCTCACGCTTGTGGTTGTTCTTGCGGGGCAGGGGCAGGGGGTGTCGCTCCGCGTTCTCCTCGCCGCCCTCCTCCTCCGCCAGGTGGGTGTGGGTGTAATGATAGCTGAGCCCCGGCCGGTTCTTGTAGCGTTTCCCGCAGACTGGAGGGAGGCAGGGTCAGAGCCCCAGACCAGCCCCACCCTCTTCAGACCCCCGGGAATCCCGCGGGCGGGGAGCTGAGGGGTGCGCCCTGCCTCACCGCCCCGGACGCCGGGGTCCCATCCACACCCCAGAGCCGGGGGTTGTAGGGCCCCCTAGTGGCGAATGCCCTGCCTCGCCGCCCCGGACGCCGGGGTCCCATCCACACCCCAGAGCCGGGGGTTGTAGGGCCCCCTAGTGGCGAGTGCCCTGCCTCGCCGCCCCGGACGCCTGGGTCCCATCCACACCCCAGAGCCGGGGGTTGTAGGGCCCCCTAGTGGCGAATGCCCTGCCTCGCCGCCCCGGACGCCTGGGTCCCATCCACACCCCAGAGCCGGGGGTTGTAGGGCCCCCTAGTGGCGAGTGCCCTGCCTCGCCGCCCCGGACGCCGGGGTCCCATCCACACCCCAGAGCCGGGGTTGTAGGGCCCCCTAGTGGCGAATGCCCTGCCTCGCCGCCCCGGACGCCTGGGTCCCATCCACACCCCAGAGCTGGGGGTTGTAGGGCCCCCTAGTGGCGAGTGCCCTGCCTCGCCGCCCCGGACGCCTGGGTCCCATCCACACCCCAGAGCCGGGGGTTGTAGGGCCCCCTAGTGGCGAGTGCCCTGCCTCGCCGCCCCGGACGCCTGGGTCCCATCCACACCCCAGAGCTGGGGGTTGTAGGGCCCCCTAGTGGCGAGTGCCCTGCCTCGCCGCCCCGGACGCCTGGGTCCCATCCACACCCCAGAGCCGGGGTTGTAGGGCCCCCTAGTGGCGAGTGCCCTCCTCGCCCCCCGGAGCGGGGTCCCATCCACACCCCAGAGCCAGGGGTTGTAGGGCCCCCTAGTGGCGAGTGCCCTGCCTTGCCGCCCCGGACGCCTGGGTCCCATCCACACCCCAGAGCTGGGGGTTGTAGGGCCCCCTAGTGGCGAGTGCCCTGCCTCGCCGCCCCGAACGCCTGGGTCCCATCCACCGGGGTCCCATCCACACCCCAGAGCTGGGGGTTGTAGGGCCCCCTAGTGGCGAGTGCCCTGCGTTGCCGCCCCGGACGCCTGGGTCCCATCCACACCCTAGAGCCGGGGGTTGTAGGACCCCTAGTGGCGAGTGCCCTGCGTTGCCGTCCCGGACGCCTGGGTCCCATTGCCACACACTCACTGTCACAGACGTAAGGCTTGTCACGGTCCTCCAGTGAGGGGGCGTCCTGCCTCTTCCGCATGCCCCCGATCCCGTAGGCCTGGGGGGCCGGGAATGGGGTGAGATGCAGCAGGACAGCACCCCCCCGGCTCCCACCCCAGGGCCAGCACAGAGCCAACAGGGGTGGGGATGCCCCGGGGGGCTGGGCTCTCACCAGCTCCCGCTCCCCTATACACCTCCCCATCCCCTTCCCCTTCCCCAGCTCCCCGCACCCGGAGACCCCCCCAGCTCCCCACCCCCATACACCCCCCTTCCCCCATCATCCCAGCTCCCCCTCCCCCACAGACCCCCCCGCCCCACCTTGCCCTTGGCCTTGTTCTTGCGCCGGGGGATGTCGTCCTCCAGGTCGTCGCCCTCCAGGTCGTGGGGGAACTCACCCACCTGCTGCTTCTGCCACAGACCGGGGGGGGGGGGTCAGAGCCGGGGGGGGTCAGAGCCCTGCCCCCCCCACAGCACCGCCACGCCAGGGAGCCCCCCAGGGATGGGCTGGGGGCAGGGACCGAACGCAAGGGGGGCTCACCCCTGGGAGGGATTGGGGGGCCCTTGGGGGGAGATTGGTGCCCCAAGGGGGGGCTGCGGGGGGGGTCCTCACCTGACAGTCCAGCACCAGTTCTTCCTCCTTCAGCTCCGTTTTCTTGTCCCCCGTCTCAGCGCAGAGCAGGGCCTCCAGCACCGGCCCCTCCGGGAGCCCCCCCTCCTTCTTCAGGGGGGCCTCGCAGTCTGGGGGGGCATCACGTCAGAGCGGCTGGGCAGAGCCCCCAAATACAGACCCCCCCCAAGTGCTCCGACACCTTCGGAGAGACCCCCCGGTAACGCCCCACTGGCTGCAATTCACCTAAATGCCACCCAAACGACCTCCAGCCACGCACCGTGGTCACGTGGGGCTGTAATTAGGGGGTGCCCCCCACCCCTAGGCTCTGATCTCCCTCAGCGTTACCATGGAAACCAACTGGGCCCCCCCAATGGCCCCCCTCCTCCCAACCTCAGCCTCGCCTGTCCCCCCCAAAGCCCCTGGTGCGGGGGGGATGATCTGGGGGCCACGACAGGGAGGGGCTGAGAGCACCAGGATCAGAATCTCCCCCCATTCCCCCATGCCCCCCCCCACCGCCCCCCATCCCCCGCCCTCCTGGTTCCTTACCGATCTTGAACTCACAAGGCCTCAGACGTGGGTCCTCCAGGATGTTCAGCCGTCGTTTCTTGCGCCAGCAACGGGCCGGGTACGTGTAGATCTGCCCCGGGGCCAGGCCTGGGGGGGCACGTGAAATGAGCACCAAGAGTCCCCCCCATCCCCAGTCTTCATAGCCCCACGGCTCGGCTGCAGGCGCTGCGGGTCGCGATTGGGGGGGCGCCGGCAAGGCTGTGGGTCGGGGCGGTGCCGGCAGGTCGGGGGGGGCACTGGCTGGGGTGAGATGTGGGTCGGGGGGCCACCGGCGGAGCTGCGGGTCGGTGGGGGGCACTGGCTATGCTGGGGGGGCTGCGGGTCGGGAGAGGGGGGCACCAGCAGGGCTGGGCTGGGGGGGCTGCGGGTCGGGAGAGGGGGGCACCGGCAGGGCTGTGGGTCAGGAAGGCGCCGGCGGGGCCGGGCCGGGGGGGCTGCGGGCCGGGAGCGGGGGGGCGCCGGCGGGGCCGGGCCGGGGGGCTGCGGGCTGGGAGCGGGGGCTGGGGCCGGGGCGGGGGCTGCGGGGCGGGCCGGGGGCCGGCGGGGCCGGGCCGGGGGCTGCGGGCCGGGAGCGGGGCGCCGGCGGGCTGTGGGTCAGGGGGCGCCGGCGGGGCCGGGCCGGGGGCTGCGGCCGGGAGCGGGGGCTGGGGCCGGAGCGGGGGCGCCGGCGGGGCCGGGAGCGGGGGCGCCGGCGGGGCCGGGAGCGGGGGGCGCCGGCGGGGCCGGGAGCGGGGGGGCGCCGGGGGGGCTGCGGGCCGGGAGCGGGGGCGCCGGCGGGGCCGGGAGCGGGGGCGCCGGCGGGGCCGGGAGCGGGGGCTGCGGGCCGGGAGCGGGGGCTGGGGCCGGGGCGGGGGCGCCGGGGGGCTGCGGGCCGGGAGCGGGGGCGCCGGCGGGGCCGGGAGCGGGGGCTGCGGGCCGGGAGCGGGGGCTGCGGGCCGGGGGCGCCGGCGGCCGGCCGGGGGCTGCGGGCCGGGCCGGGGGCGCCGGGGGCGGCCGGGGCTGCGGCCGGGGCGGGGGGCTGGGGCCGGAGCGGGGGCGCCGGGGGCTGCGGGCCGGGCCGGGGCCCGGGGGGGCCGGGCCGGGGGGCTGCGGGCCGGGAGCGGGGGGCGCCGGCGGGGCCGGGAGCGGGGGGCTGCGGGCCGGGAGCGGGGGGGCGGGGGCCGGGCCGGGGGGCTGCGGGCCGGGCCGGGGGGGCTCACCTGGCCCCCGGTGGGTCTTCTCCATCCAGATGTAGCAGTTGTTCTGGGCCACGCCGGTCTGCGAGTCGAGGAAGGGCAGGCGCAAGCTGCGCTCGGCGCAGAGCCGCGCATTGTAGCTGCGACAATGCTCGATGGCCTCGCGGTAGAACTCCTCCCCCAGGCTGGCGAGACGGGGGGTCAGGGGGGCTGGGCCGGCCCGGCCCCCCGACCCCACAGAGCCTCTGAGCTCTCCCCCCACCCCGAGCGTACCCCCCCCCCGGCCCCTCCGCGCCCCCCCGCCAGACCCGGGCGCTGCCCGGCCCCGCGCCCCCCAGCCAGGGAGTCTGGTGGGCAGGCGGGAAGGTCTGGGAGAGCCCGGCTGGGGGGGTGAGGGCGAGCGCAGTGGGACAGGCTGGGGGCGCAGGCTGGGGTGTCTGGGGCAGCCAGAGGGGGCAGGTTGGGGTCCTATGGGACAAGCTGGGGGCTAAGGTTGGGAGGGTACGGGGTCAGGCTGGGAGATGCGGGGGGGGGGGGTTGGGGTGGAGGTTGAGGGAGCTGCGGGGCTAAACTGGTGGGGCCGGGTATCTGATTTGGGGGGGCTAGGCATGACAGACTTGGAGGTCCGGCTAGGGCGGGGAGGTTGAGGGGCCTGGGGGGGGGGGGAGTCAAACTGGGGGGAGAAGTTGAGGGGTCTGGCAGAGGGGAGGGGAAGACAGGCTGGGGATGCGGTTTGGGGGAGACCGGCAGGACAGGCTTGGGGGAGGAGGTTGAGGAGTCTGGGGGGAGGTCTGGGGGGCAGGCTGAGGGGGGGGAGCTTGAGGGGTCCGGGGGAGGTCTGGGGGGCAGACTGTGGGGGCCGGCTGGGGGGGGGAGGTTGAGGGGTCTGAGGGGGAGGTTGGGGGGTCCAGGGGAGGGCTGGGGGGGGAGGTTGGGGGTCTCCGGGGAGGCTGGGGGGGGAGGTTGAAGGGTCTGGGAGGGGAGGCTGGGGGGCCGTGGGAGGGCTGGGGGGTCTCCGGGGGAGGCTGGGGGGGGAGGTTGGGGGGTCTGGGGGAGGTCTGGGGGGGAGGCTGGGGGCAGGCGGGGGAGGTTGGGGGGTCCAGGGGAGGGCTGGGGGGCAGGTGGGGGGGTCCGTGGGAGGTCTAGGGGGGCAGGTGGGGGGGTCCGGGGGAGGGCTGGGGGGGCCCGGGGGGGCCCGGCTCTCACTCACCCCTGGAGCGGCTCCTGCCCGGCTGAGCCCATCCCGCGCCCGCCCCGGACTCCGGCCCGGTTTCATTCATTCCCCAGCCGGGGGGAGCCCATCGCCCCCCCCGCCGCGCCCCGGTGCACGCCGGGAGATGCTGCCCCCCCCCCGCACCCCCCTTGGCTGCGGTCCCGCCCCGGGGCCCGTCCCGGGCTGCGCGAGGCGGCGCTGGGTGCAATGGCGGGGGGGGCACGGGGGGGCACAGCTGGAAGCGGGCAGGGACTACAGCTCCCAGCATGCCCCGCGCTTGACAGCTGGCAGGCCCGCCTCCCGAGGGGGCGGATTGGCTGGGCCTGGGGGGGGTCACTCAGTGAGGGAGGGACCTGGGGGGCTCAGGGAAGGTGCAAATGGAAGGGGGGGCGGACCGGAGTCACAGCCCCCCTCTGCTCCCCCTTGCATCCCAACCCCGCCCCCTCTGCCCCCCCTTTGTATCCCGTCCCGGCCCCCCTCAGTGTCAGGGGAGATGGGGGGGGTTGTGGGTGGAGCCCCCTCCCTGCACCAGCACCCCCTTGCAACTGGGATCAGGGCAGGGCCCTGCCGTGGGGATGGGGCCAGAGGGGTGGGGGGCCCAGCTTACAGTGGGGGGGCTCAGCTGATCCAAGCACGACCCTTTCCCCAGGAAGTTAAAATGAATCTGATCTGACCACCCCCCACTTGGAATAGGGGGCGGGGTCCCCAAGGTCCAGGACAGACCCCACCTCTGACCTCCCACCCCCTTGTAGTATCTGGAGTCTCCGGCGGGGGGGCTCCTTTACCGGACTGCAGGAGGTCGGGGGGACAGCAGGCCCTGACCTATCTCATTGGCCAGTCACTCCTGGGAAGAGAACCCAGGAGTCCTGGCTCCCAGCCCCCTGCTCTGACCACTAGACCCCACACTCCCCTCCCAGAGCTGGGAGAGAACCCAGGCGTCCTGGCTCCCAGCCCCCTGCTCTGACCACTAGACCCCCCACTCCCCTCCCAGAGCTGGGAGAGAACCCAGGCGTCCTGGCTCCCAGCCCCCTGCTCTGACCACTAGACCCCCCACTCTCCTCCCAGAGCTGGGAGAGAACCCAGGCGTCCTGCCCCCCGGGTGACCTTGGGCCTCAGTTTTCTACCTGTGACATGGGGCTAATGGCCCTGCCCTTGTCTCTTCAAGCTGCGAGCTCGGGACCGTCTCTCGCGGCTGGGGCAGCGCCCAGCCGGGCTCCGGGCAGGCACCTCCCGTGGCCCAGGGACCCCCCGCAGCCAGGGGCCCGGGGAGGGCGGGGCAGGGATAATAAGATGCTAATGAGGGCCCAGTTAACCCTTCGGCCTCCGGCGGGGAGCTCTAAACACTAGACCCCCCCAGCTGGCGAGAGAACCCAGGAGTCCTGGCCCCCAGCCCCCTGCTCTAACCACTAGACCACCCCCCCCCAAGCTGGGGAGAGAACCCAGGAATCCTGGCCCCCAGCCCCCTGCTCTAACCACTAGACCACCCGCCCCCCAAGCTGGGGAAAGAACCCAGGAGTCCTGGCTAACCAGTTTTAGCCCTGGCCCTGGGACGGGGGTCTAATGCTAGCGCAGGTGGGACTGGCAGTCGGGACTAGTCCCAGCTCTGCTACAGGCCTTTAGCGAATCCCTTCCCCACTCCATGCCTCAGTTTCCCCCGACCCAGGAGCCGAGTGTCACTAACCACGTCACGTGGGTGCTTAGGACAGAACCATCTCAGGCCAGGCGGGGAGGGGCTGTGACTGCACCCCTCAGCCCCCCACATGCGGCGGCAGTGACCCCCCCGCTGGGTGGAAGACACCTGCCTAGACCCACGGCCCGTCTCGCGAGCGGGCGGAGGTGTGGGGCCAGAGAGGTGATGGGCGTGTCTGGGGATGGACGGACAGAAGGGGCTGTACTGGGGGGGCAGGGATGGCTCTGGACGGGGACAGATCGAGGGGGGTGGGGCTGGCGATGGACCCAGGGATCTGGGTGGGGACCTGCGTGGGGGCGTGGGGCTGGAGGGACAGATGGGGCTGGCTCAGGGGCTGGCTGGCGCTGGACGCTCAGAAGGATGTGTGGGGCTGGCGGGGGGGGTGGGTGGAAGGTGGGGTGGCCGGGGGGGGAAGGCGGGGCTGACTCTGGCCCAGGCCCCTGACCCCCCCAAGGAACTTTGTCCCCCTGGCACCGCGACAGCCGCCCCCCGCCCGCCCGCCCGCGGTAACTGGGCCGGGGGGCTCGGCCCCGCCCCCCGCCGACCGGCCCGAATCCGGGCTCCAGCGGTGACCCCCCCGGCCCGCCGCACAATGGAATCTGCCCCCCCCGGGCGCCCCCCCCGGGGGACCCGGCGCCGGCACAGCGCGAGCCCCCCGGGAGGGGATTCAAGCGGTGCGGGGGGGGGGCGCCGGAGGGGCGGGGTTTGGGGGGGCATCAGCTGCACAATGGAGGCGCCCCCCGCTCGGCGCCCCCGGCCCGGTACTCACGACTTGAGCGGGTTATGCACCGCCGCGGCCATCCCCGCAGCCCGGCTCCGCGCCCGGCTCGCCGCAGCCCGCTGCAGCTTCATTCATTCCCCGGGGCTGCCGTGGGGCAGGGGCAGCCAATCGGGGGCCTCCCAAAACTCCAGCTGCATCCTGGGAAACGTAGTCCGCCCCCCCCCCCCGGTAAGGCAGGCCGGGGCCCTGCACGCAGGGGGAGGTGCCCCCCCCGCCCGCAGGGAGGGGGCAATTCCACCTTCCTCTGGTTCCCAATGGCCGGGGGCTTCACTGCGGGGGGGTCCCCAGAGCACCGGCTGGGGGTGGCTCATGTGACAGGGCAGAGGGCACAGGTGTGTGTGTGTGGGGGGGGTCATGGCAGATGGGGGGGAGGGTCTGTGTGTGAAAACCTTCAGCTCCTGCTTATCTGACCCGCCCTCCCCTCCGTCGGTTCTGTCTAGAGATGGGGGGGATGTGAGCTGGGGGGGGCTGAGCAAATGCCAGACGGGCAGCAGCTTGAAGGGGAGGATCCCCCCCCCCCCCCCCCCCGCAATCATGGCAGCATCTAGACTGAGGCTCCAGCCCAAAGCACAGACCCAGGTCCCCGCCCCAGATAAGGGCCCTGTCGCCTGGGTCCCAGCCAATGTCCAGCCCCCCGGCCAGCCCCACCCCGGCACCAAACCCCCTCCCGCAGGCTCTGCCTGGGCTGGAACGCACCGGTCACGGCTGGCACCGGAGCACGCCCCACATGTGGGGGTCACGCAAGGGAATTGTCACCCGCTGGCCCTTTCTGTGTGCCCACGGACACAGCTTGAAACAGAACCCAGGAGTCCTGGCTTCCAGCCCCCCTGCTCTAGCCACCAGCCCCCACGCCCCTCCCAGAGCTGGGGAGAGAACCCAGGAGTCCTGGCTTCCAGCCCCCCTGCTCTAGCCACCAGCCCCCACGCCCCTCCCAGAGCTGGGGAGAGAACCCAGGAGTCCTGGCTTCCAGCCCCCCTGCTCTAGCCACCAGCCCCCACTCCCCTCCCAGAGCTGGGGAGAGAACCCAGGAGTCCTGGCTTCCAGCCCCCCTGCTCTAGCCACCAGCCCCCACTCCCCTCCCAGAGCTGGGGAGAGAACCCAGGAGTCCTGGTGCCCAGCCCCGTGCCCCCGCCTGTAGCTGACACATGCTACACTCATGCCAGCTGTTGTGACTGGAGCCATGTCCCGAGATGGTCTGAGGCCTGGCGGGGCCCAGGCTGGCATGGGGGGGTTTCTCCTGCCAGCTGGGGCGTTCGCTGGGGGCATCCCAGGAGCTGGAAATTCCCCAACCTTCCTTTGCTGCAGCGGCTTCCCCTGGGCGGGGAGGGCAGGCTTGGCAGAGAGCCCATCCCAGCGACCCCAGCTCCACCCAGCGAGAGCAACCCGTATGGCCCCGGCCTTTGTCCCCACTGCCCTTCCGAGCCGAGCTGGCCGCCTGCTTCCCCTGTGCCCAGGGACCGCCCAGGCCAGGCCCAGAGCCCAGCCAGAAAACGGAAGACCTGCCTCTGCCAGGCCCCAGCCTCGCTGGGATTGCAGCAGTGCCCAGCTGGGACTGGGGGCCCCGTCCAGACCCCGACCGGCCGGGGGCTGCACAGACCCAAAGGGAGACACACCCTGCCCCCAAGGGCTCACAGGTAGGATTTTTATCACCATTTTGCCCCTTGGGAAGCTGAGGCGTGGACAGATGCAGGGACTTGGCCATGGTCACATAGGGAGTCCATGGCAAAGGTGGGAATTGAACCCTGATCTCCTGGGTCCCAGTCCAGTGCCTGCCCCCTGTGATACATGGCGGGGCTCCACATTAAACAGCTGCCCCCCCCCCCAGGCACGTCTCCTTTAAGAGCCGGTGAGCATCTCTGGCTGCTGGTTACCTTAGCAACCACAAGTGATCCATTTCCTTATTCGAGATAAGGCAAATATATATATATATCTATCTATATCTGTCTCCCCTCCCCCGCTGCAGCCGTCGCAGCTCCGGGGGATGATGGGAAATCTGCGGGGTGGGGGGCGGCATCTCCTGTGCACTGCTTTGCACCCACCGGCGACCCTGGAGTGGGAGGAGGGGCTGGGTGATGGAGCCCCCATGGGGCACTGACCTGCTGCCCTGCCCATATCCCACTGCTGACACCAATGTTTCCCCCTACTGAGCAGGAACAGGCATCTGGGCCCGGGAAGGGCGGATCCTGGTTGTAGGGGAATCAGGGAGGCGAAAGCTGGGTGAGCACAGGGTGTTATGTGTTTGTTTCCACTCTGTAGCCCAGTCCAGTCCAGGGAGCCCCCCAGGGAGCCCAGCCAGCAGATCACGCCGAGCGGCTCAAACCATCGAGCGGGTGGTCTCCCCAAGAGTCGAAACTTGCTTGTACACTGGGAAAATTCCCTCGGACGGCAGGGACAGACAGTGCCCGCAGAGGGTGCCGGTCGCGCCCAACCGCTGGCTTCTCTGCGATGAGTTCAGCCAGGCCTCAGCCCAGCGGGCAGGAATCGCCCCACACGCCCCCGATGTCTGGCGGGGGGAGGAGCTGGAACTGGATGAGCCGGGGAGGTGGGGGGGGGGGGCTGAGACTTCAGGGCAGTGCCAAGGCTCTGGCAGAAGTGTGGGGTGGGGGGTTCTCCGCAGCTGCCAGGACTGTACCCCCGCACGGGATGGATTTGACATTGGCTGGGCTCCTTCTAT